GGCGCAGGGCCCGGCTCCCGAGAGTGCTACCCGGTCCTCGGTTCCCCGCGCTCCCGCCGAGCGCTCACGGCCGAGACCTGCAGTGTGCTCCCGAACCCCGCCCCAGCCCCCAAGTTTGCTCGCACATGCTCAGAACGCTGGCTCCTGCCCCACTGGAGTTTAGGCGCTCTCATCCGCTTCCCCTGCGCCCTGAGGCAGTGGGGATCCGGGCCACCGCTGAGTTTCAGAGACATCCCTGCACCGAGAGCCCACGGCAAAGGGAGAAGTAGGGGGCTCAGAGGTGAAGGAGCCAGAAGTAGGAGGGAAAAGATCGTCCAAACGTTAGGAGAGAGGGGTGAAAATAGGGAACTGGGATACGGTGGTTCGGCAAGAGACCTCTGCCACTGTTGCAACTCTGTCTTTTCCCATCTTTGACCTTCGGACCTTTTTATACCACTGCTGCCCATTAAAGCAGCTCCACCGGAGAACAAGGCCCTTTATTTTAACTTATGAGGTGCTACAAGAAATTAGGCACTTAATTGCTCTTTATTACTATTTGATGTGATGATAACGATAGCAACTGCAGCATTCTTAAACCTGCTTCTTCCCACTAAACTCTTAAGTGCTGCTGGACCACATTTTGGCAGATTGTATTAGTCAGCTTTCCGATTACTGGAAACAATACCAGACACAACTTACAGGAGAAGACGCTTTCATTTACCTCATGTTTTGGGGGAATTCGGTCTATAGTCAGCTGGCGCCAAGGCAGGAATATGGAGGCAGAAGGACAAGGAGGAACGTAAAAGCGCGTGGCTTCCAGAATACGCAGAGCACGGGACCAGTGCCTGAAGAGGACAAGCTAGGGACCATGTACTGTATAGCACCCAAGGTCATTATTTCTGCAATCTAAATCTGTATAAAACCTTTTAATGCATCAGGTCTTTGAGATGTAATTCCGGCATTCCCCACACCTTACATTTCTCCATTGATACAGGAACTATTTGTAGATTAATGCCCTTGCTTTTGAGGACCTAGTTCCAGGGGTTTTTTCTCACTATCATTCATTTTCTGCTTGGTTCTGCCGGTAACTTCTACCAGACCTTTACAATGAGCATATCATACACACACACACACACACACAGCCTTTGTTTACCGTCCTCTCCCTCCACTTACCACTTGCTTTTCATCCTTCCCTTTACCCCAAAGCTCTAAAGAATTCCCTATCTGTTGCCTCTAATTTCTCTCTTCCAGTTCTCTTTTGAACTTTCTTTGGGCATTTGCCTCCTCTGCTACACTACTGAAACTTCAAGGTCCCTATACATCTCCATGCTGCTAAACACAAAAGTCAGGTCTGATTTTAGTTCAAACTGCTTTAACTGGGTGGCTTAAACAACTGACATCTATTGCCCACACTTTTGGAGCCTGGAAAGTCTAAAATCAAGGTGTTGGCAGTTTCTGTGTATGGTGTAGGCTCTCTTCCTGATGTGTGCATGTCTGTCTTCCCATGACAGAGAGCAGAAAGAGAGAAAGCAAGTGTTGTATCTTCTTACCACAGCACTAATCTTGAGGGCCCTACCCTCATAAGCTAATTATCTCCCCAAATACCTTCCCTTTAAGGACTAGACTTTCAACATATGACTTTGAGGAGGATATAAACATTCTGTCCAATGCCGTTCTCAACCCCCCGCCCATCAGAAGCTTTTGGTCCACCTGGCCAGTTCCTCATAAAACATTATGGTCATGGCTTCCAGAAACCTCATTCTTCTGTTTTTCCTCCTCCTTCTTGGCCACTTGTGCTCAATCTTTTTTGGTTACTCCTCACCTTCTGACTCCTAAAGGTCTTTTGTCCTCATCACGTTTCCATCTGCACTCAGCTGCTTGGTGATCTTATCCAATCCAAGACTTTGATAGCATCTGCACAGCTTTCAATGACACACTAATAGCCCCTGTATTTGAATCTATCCCCATGAACTTTCCCCTGCACTTCAGCCTCCTAAATGCTTTGTGGCTCACAACTCCACCATCTCATGGCCAGACTACTAATCTCTAAAAACCTGTCTCTTCTATATAGTCCTCGTTCAGATCAAAAACGTAGTCATCCTTCCCCTTCTTTTTCTCACTAATCCCTTTTCTAATCATCACAGATCCTATCAACATCATTTAAAAAACAACTCTCACCACCTCTTCTACTCTCAGATGCACACAACCAGCATTTCTCACCTGTGTTACCCCAGTAACCTTCTACCTCCTAGTTTCCATGCTTGACCCTCTGCAGTCTCTTCTCATCCAGAGTGATCCTGTTGAAATGTGAGTTAGACCACTTCAGAACTTAAAGACCTGCTTCTCCACCCTTCCCCAAGTGGAAGCCAAAGTCATTACAGTGTCCTAAGATATTCGGCTTCATATTCTTTCTGACCTCATTCACCCTCTCTGCTCCCCCTGCTTTGGTTGCTGGCCTCTTTACCCTTTCTGGAACACGCTAGCCATGCCTTAAAGCTTTTGCACTTGCTCCTCTCTCCCTCTCCCTCCCCCACCCTGGAATTCCTTTTCCACAGATGTTCGCGCTTATTTTTTCTTCAGTGTCACAGTGAGCCCTTCCTTTGTTACCCTAGATAATCAACGACCTTCACTCTTCAAAGCATTCGCCATCAACACAACATATATTGTACTTATTGCTTCCCCCTGCGCACGCGCGCACGCGCACACACACACACACACACACACACGCACACAAATGTAAGCTTGCAAAAGTTAAAATTGTTTTATCCACTCTTCTATCTTTAGTACTTAAAAGGTGCCTGGCTCATAGTCGGTCCCCAATTAACTATTGATTAATGAATGAATAAACTTTATTCCAACCGCAAAGAACTTCTGTGGGAGAGAAAGCTCCTGAATAAATGTGTGTCCATGTTAGACTCATATTAAGAATAACGTGGGCATAGGGAATGAGCCCGTTCTGGGGTGGGGCTGGGGGTGTCATTGAAGTTGGTCATCTCTGAGGTCAAAGGGTCACCAGTGTCCTCACTCCAGACCATGTGGTCAGCTCCTCACTGTTACTGGTGGTCCTGTGGGAGAGGCCTTCGGTTCACTTGGACTGCACACAGAAGAGATTTGTTAAGGCCTGTTACCTTTTGTGGCAGCAAGGCTGTGTCATGGTGCTGCCTAGCCTTCTGGGCCAAGCACAGCCCTGCGGGGCTCAGGACTGTCCCTCTTCTCTCACCGCACTTCATCCTGTACGACCTTGCCTCCTACCTCAGGGCTTCTGTGCTGTCTAGGAGCTGCTTCTGTGTCCTCAAGTAGGTACCACATTAAGTGGTGGCGAGTTGATGCCCAAGAGCCTGAACTTTGATGACAGTGTAAGTCCAAGGACACAGTTTTACCCCCTTCTCTCCTGTCGTTCTTGGAACACAGAGACCTCTCCAAAACCACGCAGTGGTATCGGGGGTTGATTTCAAGGTTGTGATGACTCGGTGAGTCATGCCCCTGTGTTTCCTCTCCCTCTTTTGCTATCTCACCCTCCTAGCCTCTTATTCCCTTTTCCTTGAAACTGCACTTCCCTGAAACTTTTTTTCTAGAGAAACCAAGTAATAAGAAAGCAGAACACAGTGCTGCTGCTCTGCCACTTACCCACTTCTACGGCAGTGGTGGGATTTCAGGAACCTTTTGAAAGATGGATTTCACTGGGCCATGGAAGTAGGTAGAGGTGTTTATCCGGGTATTCTTGCACAGGTCACTTAGTTTCTAAGAGCATATTAATGCCTTCCTATGTAAGATATCTAACAGTACTATCTCTCTTGCCTCTGGCACTCATCATGAAACTCATCACCACCACAGGAGATAAGACATGAGGAAAGGCTTGTAAACTATTGTGCCCAGGTATCATGTAACAGACATCTAGTCTTTATCAGTTTAGCGGGCCTCCATCAGGCAAGGCTCCCAGCCCACCATCTTCCATCCAAATGGTTACCCTGGAAACCCAACCGAGTGAACTCTCTTTCCTTATCTGACCAGTCTATTGAGCCAGGGATTGGCCTAATGTCACAATTAAAGTCCTTCTTGGGGTGTATTGATCAGATCAGGCCATCTTTCTATGGACACTTGGACTCAAATTTCAAACATTTCAAATGTTTGCCCCTCTACTTTGTGGTACAGCTGGAAAAAGCAGAAGCTGATCTGGCCCAAGAAGAGAATAAAATGGACCTGTAGAGTTAAGTGCAAGTCAGACACAAAGTCCTCTTGGCATTTGAGCTCCAGGATCCACACAGTGCCTGGTAGCTGACTGTCTTCCCATGTTTAGGCTCCACACACCAGCACATTTTAATTTTCAGTCCCCCTTTTGGGTCGGGTTGCTGTTATTTTAATGCAAACGATTCCCACTCTCCCAGACATTACTCAAGGGTCCGTGGCTCCAATATTCTGCTGACCCCAGCTCAGGCCCTAGGGAAGATCCATCGCAGGAATGACACTGCACACAGCATGCCTTCCAAGGAAGCCACTTTATACCTGTGCAGAAGGCTTCTAGCTGTTGCCCCAGGAAACCTAAATACAATCTATGTATCACACAAATGCATTGTTTAGTGAGGAAATGAATTATTAGTTGATAAGTAGAAGAGACGAGAAGAGGAAAAAGATGCAAAACAAATTGGCAGTGAGAGGAGTGTAAGTGCCACCACTTACACTGGATATTAGGAGAGATGCTTCGGGCCCTGACTGTGAAGTGCCATATGAGAACATACCCTCTCTTCCAGGACAACTGGAAAATACCAGCAAAGCTAAGCTTCGTTTCTGTTCACACCCA